TAAACCTGTGTTTTGCGGATTAAAGCCTGTTATTCTGTGATTTACCCTCCTGCGCCTGACTCTTTCAACACCACTTCATCACAGATAATTACAGTGGGGAAAAAAAGTATTTAGTCAGCCACCAATTGTGCAAGTTCTCCCACTTAAAAAGATGAGAGAGGCCTGTAATTTTCATCATAGGTACACGTCAAGTATGACAGACCAGAAAATCACATTGTAGGATTTTTTATGAATTTATTTGCAAATAATGGTGGAAAATAAGTATTTGGTCAATAACAAAAGTTTCTCAATACTTTGTTATATACCCTTTGTTGGCAATGACACAGGTCAAACGTTTTCTGTAAGTCTTCACAAGGTTTTCACACACTGTTGCTGGTATTTTGGCCCATTTCTCCATGCATATCTCCTCTAGAGCAGTGATGTTTTGGGGCTGTCGCTGGGCAACACGGACTTTCAACTCCCTCCAAAGATTTTCTATGGGGTTGAGATCTGGAGACTGGCTAGGCCACTCCAGGACCTTGAAATGCTTCTTACGAAGCCACTCCTTCGTTGCCCGGGCGGTGTGTTTGGGATCATTGTCATGCTGAAAGACCCAGCCACGTTTCATCTTCAATGCCCTTGCTGATGGAAGGAGGTTTTCACTCAAAATCTCACGATACATGGCCCCATCCATTCTTTCCTTTACACGGATCAGTCGTCCTGGTCCCTTTGCAGAAAAACAGCCCCAACGCATGATGTTTCCACCCCCATGCTTCACAGCAGGTATGGTGTTCTTTGGATGCAACTCAGCATTCTTTGTCCTCCAAACACGACGAGTTGAGTTTTTACCAAAAAGTTGGTTTCATCTGACCATATGACATTCTCCCAATCCTCTTCTGGATCATCCAAATGCATGCTAGCAAACTTCAGACGGGCCTGGACATGTACTGGCTTAAGCAGGGGGACACGTCTGGCACTGTAGGATTTGAGTCCCTGGCGGCGTAGTGTGTTACTGATGGTAGGCTTTGTTACTTTGGTCCCAGCTCTCTGCAGGTCATTCACTAGGTCCCCCCGTGTGGTTCTGGGATTTTTGCTCACCGTTCTTGTGATCATTTTGACCCCACGGGGTGAGATCTTGCGTGGAGCCCCAGATCGAGGGAGATTATCAGTGGTCTTGTATGTCTTCCATTTCCTAATAATTGCTCCCACAGTTGATTTCTTCAAACCAAGCTGCTTACCTATTGCAGATTCAGTCTTCCCAGCCTGGTGCAGGTCTACAATTATGTTTCTGGTGTCCTTTGACAGCTCTTTGGTTTTGGCCATAGTGGAGTTTGGAGTGTGACTTTTTGAGGTTGTGGACAGGTGTCTTTTATACTGATAACAAGTTCAAACAGGTGCCATTAATACAGGTAACGAGTGGAGGACAGAGGAGCCTCTTAAAGAAGAAGTTACAGGTCTGTGAGAGCCAGAAATCTTGCTTGTTTGTAGGTGACCAAATACTTATTTTCCACCATAATTTGCAAATAAATTCATTAAAAATCCTACAATGTGATTTTCTGGATTTTTTTTCTCAATTTGTCTGTCATAGTTGACGTGTACCTATGATGAAAATTACAGGCCTCTCTCATCTTTTTAAGTGGGAGAACTTGCACAATTGGTGGCTGACTAAATACTTTTTTCCCCCACTGTATATGTGTAGGGTACAGAGATGAGGTAGTCATTCAAAAATCATGTTAAAAGTCCATGCAACTTATTATGTGACTTGTTAAGCACATTTTTACTCCTGAACGTATTTAGGGTTGCCATAACAAAGGAGTTGAATACTAGTTGACTCAAGACATTTCAGCTTTAAAAATATAGAATATTTGAAAAAAAATTGAAAAACATAATTCCCTCTGTGACAGTATGGGGTATTGTGTGTAGGCAGGTGACAAAACAAATGTCAATGTAATCCATTTTAAATTCAGGCTGTAACACAACAAAATGTGGAAAAAGTCGAGGAGTGTGAATAATTTCTGAAGGCACTGTATGCGACAGTATAGGTGGCGTTTTCAGACTAAATACCTGGCTGAGCAGGGAATTATGAACATTTTGACTAAAACGGTGGCGTGCACAGCCTAAATATACTGTCTGTCTGGCACTTACATATGTAGGATCTTAATTTGATCACTCTTTTGTTGCTGGGAATGCAAACTTGTGGTATATTTTAGGTTTAAAAAGGCGTCCAAAGTTTGTAATTTCCTCTTTGAAATGTCTAACTTGATTTGCCTTAATGAGAACTGAATCAACCCCTACAAAAATGTCAATTAATTATAATCCACATAATAATTCACATTTCCTGTTGCTGCAACATTATTTTTCTGCTGTAACAAACTGGCTCAAATTAAAGATCTTACATCTGTATACCATAAGTAAATCCAGGAGTTTTTCCTGATGACGCTACCTGACCAAGAATAACTCTGGGCTGCAACTATATGGGTTGGAGAGGCACACAAGACATCCACTAGACATTTGATCTACTGTAATGCATCAAAGCTGATCAAACCAACCTCTAACTCATCATTTGTCTGTTACAGCGGTTTCTTCTTACTCTCGTTCTCTCTGTCTCTCTGTCCCCAACCTGTCACATTTCATTTAGCCTCGTCTTTCTTTCTGTTTTAACCTAATTCTCTCCGTCTCTTTCCTCCCTGGGCATTTTCACATGTAATGCCACTCTCTCCCTGGCGTATGGTTGGTTGAGGTTTCTAGGAAGCTAACATATGCCTGTTGTCATGACTCATATGTCATTCTCTCTTTAGTACACCTAACACATGCAACCCTCCTTTCTTTCTCACTATCCTCTCTCTTCCTCTCTCTCTCTACCCCAGTCCACCCCATGTCCCCTCCCTCTCTCACCTATCTCTCCTCTCTCTAGCCCCCTTACAATTACAATTTACAATGTAATGGCTTTTCTAGGAAGCTAACATATGCCTGTTGTCATGACTCATATGTCATTCTCTCTTTAGTACACTAACACATGCAACCAATTCCCCCTCACTCTCGCTCTGTCTCAGCCACTGGCCAGTCTGACTCAGCGCACAGCCACTGGCCAGTCTGACTCAGAGCACAGCCGCTGGTCTGAACCCTCTCTGGACCCTGTATACTCATATTGTTGATACGTACACAGACAGGTAACACAACACTCACATACACACCTGGCCATAGCAGGATAAATGGAACCTCAAATGTAGCGAAACAGCAATGAATATTCTAACCACTGTCTTGTCAACAGATCCATCTGAAGTGAGGGAGAAGGGAAGTCGGACACACACACACACATTGAAGTCGGACACACACACACAGACACACACACACATTGAAGTCGGACACACACACACAGACACACACACACATTGAAGTCGGACACACACACACAGACACACACACACATTGAAGTGGGGCACACACACACACACACTGGTAAGCTGGTGCTTTTCTCGGCTGTGAGGCCTGTGAGTGGCAGGATCAGAGCTCGTCATTAAAGTTTGATCGATGGGTGCTGTCTAAACTAAAACCACATCTTTTAGCACCTCCTCATAAAATATGGACTGTTCCACTTCACTTTCTTTATATTCAAAGTCTCCTCTCTCCCCTCCTCCTCTCTCTCCCCTCCTCCTCTCCTCTCTCCCCTTTGCCTCTCCTCTCTCTCCCCTCCTCCTCTCCTCTATCTCCCCTTTGCCTCTCCTCTCTGTCTCTCCTATCTCCCCTCCTCCTCTCCTCTTTTCCACACTCATCTGTTGTCACAGCTGGCCTATGTTTGATGTTTGTTCATCTGTCATCACAAAGACTCATCCTGATTGGTTACAGAAACAAGGGGGTGGAGTTAGAGGGGTGAAATGGGAGGAAGGTGAAGGAAAGGGAGGAGATGAGGAAGATGAAACACTCAATCACTCCCAGGCAGGTGTCTCTCTCTCTCTCTCTCTCTCTCTCTCTCTCTCTCTCTCTCTCTCTCTCTCTCTCTCTATCTCTCTCTCTCTCTCTCTCTCTCTCTCTCTCTCTCTCTCTCTCTCTCTCCACTCTTACACTCGAAAACGACCCCCCCCCCCCCCCCCCCCCCCCACACACACACACACACACACTCCTGCACAGAGACACGCACACAGACACGTTGACGTAACGGTGTATCACTCTGTCATACAGTACACACTTTTATTTTTTGTTATCCTAGGCTACCTGGCTAAAATGCTTGCTCGTTAGCCTAACTTCCATTAATGGGCAACGTTAGCTAGTTAACATTAGCCTTCTACATCTAGCGACATATTGATCTTCCATCGTCTCAGGCCAAGGGCACAACAATGTATGAATTAATGGTTGGATCAGAATCACTGTTATAATCATTGGCCAGCACGGAGAATTAAGTAAAACAAGTCCAAATCCCTGTCCATGGCTAATTTAGGAAATCTGGCTGGCTAGCCACTGGAGGACAACAACACGAGATGCAACAATTCAAGTTTTTCTGTCAATGACATATGCTCTCAATGGGATTTGATTGGAGTGACGCCAAATCCAAGCTGGCTTCCCTTGACACTTTTTTTTGTGCGCCAGGACCATTCACATTTACATTTACATTTTAGTCATTTAGCAGACGCTCTTATCCAGAGCAACTTACAGTTAGTGAGTGCATATATTTTTTCATACTGGCCCCCCGTGGGAATCGCCCACAACCTTGGCGTTGCAAACGCCATGCTCTACCAATTGAGCTACACAATTACAGACAATTACAGACAATTATATAAATTGTTCCTCTTCATTTTTTATTTCAAAGTTTAAAATATGTAAAGAAACAAAAAGTAATATTCTTATTCTAGCAACGCAAATGAGAAACATTGCATATTTTCCCCATTTGAAGTACTGTGTTATATCTCAGATTAGAAATCTTGAAATGTAAGCCTAAAGCAAAGACAGACCAATAATCCTGCTTCCTAGTGCCTCTGACCAGAATATCGACAGCGTAGATGTCAACATATTTTGACATCTAAGTCTCATTTCGTGAGCTTTGCAGTCAGGGCGTCTATTAGCTTCTGTTTCTTGGTCCCTGTGACCTTCACCCCGAACTGCTTACAGGCGTCCTTCAGCACGGGCACCGTCAGCTTACCCAGGGTGCCTTTCTGTATGTGACCCCTCAGCTCGTCCTCAGACATCTCCACCTTGGGCTTCTTCTCTGCGCTGCCTGCCGCCTCAGCTGGTTTGCGTTTGGGTGCAGTCTTGCCCTCTGGGTTGTAGTCTGCAGGGTACACCAGATCTCTGAACTCCTGAGCCAGGGAACCAAGACGCTGGTCCATCAAATTCACATTGGGCATGGTGTGGTCCTCTACGTGCTCCGGGGCCATGAGATCTAAAGCCAAGGCTTCCAGGTTCCTGTAGTGTTGCTGGAGGACTGGGTTCTCAAACGCATCACTCCTGTATTTGAAGCGTAGATTGTGTACCATCTCCTTCATCTTGTCCACCTGGGCGTCGGAGGCCGTGGGGAGCTGAGGAGTGTCCAGGGTACGGATGTCATCCGCGTAGGGCAGGAAGATGCCATGGAAGCCTGGAGCTGCAATCTGAGCCTGGCCCTCATCCACCTCCTCTCTTTGGGGCACCAGCGCTAAGAAGCACGGGGGAGAGTTACGAATCTGTGTGTATTTACACAGAGCGAACACGTTCCTCTCACTACATCTGCGCAGCAACGCTGTGAAAACACAGGCACTCACTGTGACCATTTCCTCCTCTGGGTAGATGAAGACAGCAGATCTGAGGTGGTGGTGCAGTTTGAGACGCTCCATGGGCTTGAACCCAATCAGCTCCAGACCCTGGTCAGAAAACGTCTTTATCACATCCACCTCGTCCATCTCCATCACTATCTGCCTGCCTGCATACACCTGAGCCTTCTTGGTGTCGCTGGGGAGCAGCAGGCTGCCCGTCTGTGGGTGGTAGAGTCGTGTCTTAGTGCAGACGGGCTCGTTGTTGTCTCTGTATAGCTTGATGGCGTTAGGCTTCTTGGCCTGTAGGGCCGTGATGTACACACCCACCGCCATGTTCATCCCTTCCCCAAGACACAGATTCAACCTTGCGACCGATCTCTTCTTCCTCCTTGGTTCTGACCCTCTTCTGGAGGTCCTCCAATTTCCCACAAGGCTTCATCTGCAGGCCCACCTCAGCCTCGTCCTCGGGGGGGGGGGGGGCTCACCACGTCGCAGAAGAAGAGCGAGATGTCGAACCCACCTGGCTTCATCAGATGCATCAGGTCTATCACCACACCAGTCTCTTTGAGGTCGCTAGCCTTGGTGCGGGCCTGGTGGTCGTGCTCGCTGTCGCCCCCGTGTGGCATGTCTCGGCAGGTGAAGATCATGAGGCGTTTGTGGGAGAGCCGAAGCTTGATGTCACTGTAGAGGTTGGAGCAGCACCACAGGGCCTCGCCTAGGTTGGTATACCCACTGCCCATGGTCTCCGCTGCCACCTGGGCACCCTTCTAGACGTCCACGTCCTGCATCCGACGGGCACCAGGTGAGTCCAGGTCATGGTAGATATAGACATGCTTGAAACTGTTCCTGGGGTTCTTGCTCTGTTCCGTCCCGTAGAACACTAGAGCCACCAGGTCCTTGTCAGTGCTGATGATCTTACTGGTGTAGACGTTGCGGACACACTGCATGGTTCTCATGGCTCTCCATCCTCCATCCTCCCCCCTTGGTGAACATCTCCTTGGAAGCATCCACCAGAAACACCAGGCTGTCACGCCCTGTGCTCTTACAGTCCACTCCAGACTCATCCCCTTCCTCTCCGTCCACATCTGCATCCTCATGGTGGCAGTCGTTCCACTGTGCCGTTGTGGCATGCACTTGTCTTGCCCTTATGGCCGAGTGTTTGATGTTACAAAAGTGGTTTAGGTGGAAATAGCCAGCTACAAGCCTTGTTCTGTCTTGATGCAGGTGTTGATATCAGACCATAGTCGCGTCACATAGTTTGATCGCGTCCTCTGTTGCGACGTGAATGCGCATTACTTGCTCAGTTTAGCTCAATGCTGATTGTCAAATTTGTTATACTTTTTTTGTCAAGGGAGGCCAGATGGTCGCTGGCTTCCCTTACCTTCAATGCTACGGGCGGCAACAATGTCATACCCGTTTGAACCAGACAGCATCAGATGGATGAGGTACACATAGAGAGACAGAAGGGCTCTGTTTCGCTCGCTCGGATGCTTTCTCCTGTGAGATATATCCAGCCTCTTGTGAATTGAAGGAAAATTATGAAACACAGAGAGACGAAAGATAAATATATATACGTAATTTTTTTCTTGGTTAATTTTTTGGGGAAGCTGGCTTCCTTTGGCATCCATGAATACATGCCACTGAAGAAGTGAGCGAGGAAGTAAGGGTTAATGTGTTGTTATAATGGAAGAAATGGAAGGGTTCTGGTTACAAGAATATTTGGCCCTCACTAATGCATTAACACTAACCCTAATGCATTTAATAAATCCTACTGTCATTATGCATCTTAGAGAGAGTGAAAGATGGAGCGAGAGAGCGAGAGAGAAGGAGAGATAGAAAGAGAGGAAGTGTTGTTTTAAGGTGAGAAAATGCTGCTAACAGAAAAAAAGCATTAAACCTTCACATACAGCATGTCTAAAAACAGGCTCATTAAACATATAGCAAGATGAACATGTTTCTATAACATCAAGAGAAAAGAGAGAGCTGAGAGAGAGCTGAACATGTTTCTATAACATCTACCAGCTTGGCAGATTCCCTACCCCTCATCTAGTATTAAATAGGCTGCTATTCAGCAAACTGAAATAGGCAGCTGTATTGTCTATGTCCCATCCCATTCACTCTCTAATTGAAAAGGGGTGTAGAGGAGGAGATAGAGAGGAAGGGGAGGGGTGGGACACTGACAGGTATACGGTACTGCACTCGTACTAACCTTGGGGAATGGGTGTGTGTGTTGTTGTTTTGTACAGTACAGTATGTGTGTGTGTGTGGGGGGAGGGAAGATACAACAGGTATGGAGATTGATGGGAGGAGTCAAGAAAGCAAAAGAAAGACAGACAGACAGGGAGGGAGAAAGATCCCGAGAGAACCCACGCCAAGAGGACCTACAACCAGACCACGGCATCACCAGCCACACCCCAACCAGCTGAGACGCCCCACCCAAACAAACCCTGGCCAAACCCTATATAGCTCCCCCCCCCAGATCAGACCTAAGCCCCTTCTGCCCCCGCCCCCCCATGACCCCCGCCACTGCAGCAAGTACCTCAACATGACAGCCGGACATATGCCCAGGCCGTGAGCAGAGCAAGAGGCCCAACCTCCACTACTACACCTGCCCAAGCCCCACCCTGCCACCTAAGAGGTATGTATCAGATGCTCAACATGCTCTGCTCACACCTACTGTAATGGTCCGGGCCTAAACCCCTTGAAAACAACACTAGACACTATGGAACGCAAAGCTTTTACTATCTCATCCTGGTATATACAAGGTCTGAGGTCATCTGCCTTTGGCCAAAAGAGCAGGAAACCAGACTTCATCAAAGAAATTGGAAATACAGACATTGTCATCCTACAAGAACCAATGTATAGTGGAGACGGACCCAATGGTTGACCTCTAGGTTACAGAGAACTGGTAGTCCCATCAACCAAACTACCAGGTGTGAAACAGGGAAGAGACTCAGGGGGTATGCTAATTTGTTATAGAGCAGACCTAACCCACTCTATTAAATTAGTCAAAACAGGAACATTTTACATCTGTCTAGAAATTATTAAGGAATTGATCTCAAAAGAGAAAAATCTCGTCATGTGTGCTGCATTTTTCCTATTTTGTTGCCTTACAACCTGGAATTAAAATTGATTTTGGGGGGGTTTGTATCATTTGATGTACACAACATGCCTACCACTTTGAAGATATTTTCTCATGTGAAACAAAGAAGAAAACTTGAGCATGCATAACTATTCACCCCCCCCCCCCCCAAAGTCAATACTTTGTAGAGCCACCTTTTGCAGCAATTACAGCGGCAAGTCTCTTGGGGTATGTCTCTATAAGCTTGGCACGTCTAGCCACTGGGTTTTTGCGCATTCTTCAAGGCAAAACTGCTCCAGCTCCTTCAAGTTGGATGGGTTCCGCTGGTGTACAGCAATCTTTAAGTCATACCACAGATTCTCAATTGGATTGAGGTCTGGGCTTTGACTAGGCCATTCCAAGACACTTAAATATTTCCCCTTAAACCACTCAAGTGTTGCTTTAGCAGTACGCTTAGGGTCATTGTCCTGCTGGAAGGTGAACCTCCGTCCCAGTCTCAAATATCTGGAAGACTGAAACAGGTTTCCCTCAAGAATTTCCCTGTATTTAGCGCCATCCATCATTCCTTCAATTCTGACCAGTTTCCCAGTCCCTGCCGATGAAAAACATCCCCACAGCATGATGCTGCCACCACCATGCTTCACTGTGGGGATGGTGTTCTCGGGGTGATGAGAGGTGTTGGGTTTGCGCCAGACATAGCGTTTTCCTTGATGGCCAAAAAGCTCAATTTTTGTCTCATCTGACCAGAGTACCTTCTTCCATATGTTTGGGGAGTCTCCCACATGGCTTTTGGCGAACACCAAACGTGTTTTTCTAATTTTTTTCTTTAAGCAATGGCTTTTTTCTGGCCACTCTTCCATAAAGGCCAGCTCTGTGGAGTGTATGGCTTAAAGTGGTCCTATGGACAGATACTCCAATCTTCGCTGTGGAGCTTTGCAGCTCCTTCTGGGTTATCTTTGGTCTCTTTGTTGCGTCTCTGATTAATGCCCTCCTTGCCTGGTCCGTGAGTTTTGGTGGGCGGCCCTCTCTTGGCAGGTTTGTTGTGGTGCCATATTATTTCAATTTTTTCTAATGGATTTAATGGTGCTCCGTGGGATGTTCAAAGTGTCAGATATTTCCTTATAACCCAACCCTGATCTGTACTTCTCCACAACTTTGTCCCTGACCTGTTTGGAGAGCTCCTTGGTCTTCTTGGTGCCGCTTGCTTGGTGGTGCCCCTTGCTTAGTGGTGTTGGAGACTCTGGGGCCTTTCAGAACAGGTGTATATATACTGAGATCATGTGACAGATCCTGTAACACTTAGATTGCACACAGGTGGACTTTATTTAATTAATTATGTGACTTCTGAAGGTAATTGGTTGCACCAGATCTTATTTAGGGGCTTCATAGCAAAGGGGGTGAATACATATGCACGCACCACCTTTCCATTATTTATTTTTTAGAATTGTTTTGTATGTCCATTAAATTACAGGTTGTAATGCAACAAAATAGGAAAAATTACAAGGGGGATGAATAATTTTGCAAGGCACTGAATATCCCCCCAAGAGAATCCCCATACTTGAACGATGACAGCTTCTCCATCCTAGAGGGGGAGATCAACCATTTACAGGCTCACGGACATGCACTAGTCTGTGGTGACCTCAATGCTAGAACTGGACAAGAACCTGACACTCTCAGCACACAGGGGGACAAACACCTACCTGGAGGTGACAGCATTCAATCCCAAATATGCCCCCCTATACACAACTATTACAAAACAACCAACAAAAATGGCTCACAACTCCTGCAGCTCTGTTGCACCCTGGGTCTGTACATAGTCAATGGTAGGCTTCGAGGAGACTCCTACAGTTGGTACACCTACAGCTCATCCCTTGGCAGTAGTACTGTAGATTACTTTATCGCTGACCTCAACCCAGAGTCTCTCAGAGCGTTCACAGTCAGCCCACTAACACCCCTATCAGATCACAGCAAAATCACAGTCTACCTGAACAGAGCAATACTCAATCATGAGGCATCAAAGCCAAAGGAACTGAATAATATTAAGAAATGCTACAGATGGAAGGAAAGTAGTGTAAAAACCTACCAAAAAACTATTAGGCAACAACAAATTCAATCTCTTTTAGACAACTACCTGGACAAAACATTTCACTGTAATAGTGAAGGTGTAAACTTGGCAGTAGAAAGCCTAAACAGTATATTTGACCTTTCAACTTCCCTATCAAATAAAAAAATAAAAAACAATGAAAAATGGTTTGTTGAAAAATGCAAAAACCTAAGAAAGAAATTGAGAAACCTATCCAACCAAAAACATAGAGACCCAGAAAACCAGAGTCTACGCCTTCACTGTGGTGAATCACTAAAACAATACATAAATACACTACGGAAAATAGAAGGAACAGCACATCAGAAATCAGCTCAATGTATTTGAAGAATCCATAGAATCTAACCACTTCTGGGAAAATTGGAACACACTAAACAAACAACAACACGAAGAGTTATCTATCCAAAATGGAGATCTATGGATAAACCACTTCTCCAATCTTTTTGGCTCTATAACAAAGAACAAACAGCAAAAACATATACATGATCAATTACAAATCTTAGAATCAGCTATTAAAGACTACCAGAACCACCTGGATTCTCCAATTACATTGAATGAACTACAGGACAAAATACAAACCCTCCAACCCAAAAAGGCCTGTGGTGTTGATGGTATCCTAAATGAAATGATAAAATATACAGACCACAGATTTCAATTGGCTATACTTAAACTCCTTAACATCATCCTCAGCTCTGGCATCTTCCCCAATATTTGGAACCAAGGACAGATCACCCCAATCCACAAAAGTGGAGACAAATGTGACCCCAATAACTACCGTGGGATATGTGTCAACAGCAACCTTGGGAAAATCCTCTGCATTATCATTAACAGCAGACTCGTACATTTCCTCAGCGAAAACAATGTACTGTGCAAATGTCAAATTGGTCTTTTACCAAATTACCATACGACAGAACACGTATTCACCCTGCACACCCTCATTGACAAAC